CCACCCCAATGCCAGCCTCATTCTACAACAGTGGCACCATATAGCATTTGTCCCTTTGTGACTGAGATACCTCACTCAGCATAATGACCTCCAACCTCCACTTCTTAAAAACTCCTTATTCAATGCGGGGAGAAGGGTGCAACAATGAATGAATGGAATTCCAAAATCTCTGTAGATGTTCATTGAAATGAAAAATAAACAACCTAAATTAATTAAAAAAACAAACAAACAAAAAAAAACCCACCTCCTTATTCTAACCAGAACACAAGATAGAACCTAAATGTTGAATAATTCCTTTCATTCTTTTCTTCTTACACTCAAGCATTTGTGACAGCATCTGGGAAGGGTTTGTCTCTATCTCCTTCTGTGTCTTTACACAGAATCCAGAGGAAATGAGGGTTGACCTCTGCCTTTTCTGCTGACAATTAACAAACACGACTGAGAAACTGTGAGCAACGTCTTTATGAGAGTTCACAATAGTAGAATTTTAACTACTGGGTGTATATATGTGTTAACCAAACAAAACAGTAAAGTTCCACTGCTCTTGAGGCAACCTTCCCATAAAGCTTTACCGTAGTGACTGATGGATTCAAATCATTTACCTCAGACTCAGTGCCACCAGGGCTCCCTTTTGTGTTACCATCTGTACTGTGTTCCCTACTTTGTGTAAGATTCTAAACTTCGTGCATACCGCTTTCTCTATTACCTCCCTCCCCCACAGGATGTTAATCCTTCTCAGATTGAAAGTCTTATTTTGCCAGTTTACTTCCAGTCATATGAGACAAGAAAATATTTTCCTCTTTTGCATATGCTTTCTTAATTTTTTTCAAAATATCCCCTTAGCCCTATTCTTCATTTCCCCCTGTGGTTTCTACTTTTTCCTAGAATAGATTGACTTTGTCATAAAAAAAATCACAGGGATGATTCAAGAGACGAGAGAGCCAGTGATGTTATTCTCTGTAAATGTGAGTTGTAGAAAAGATGAGTCATTAGTGGGAGGCAAAGAATCAGTAATCACATCAAAAAGACACCAATACCAGTTGTCTTTATTTCAAAACATAAAGTTGAATCCATGCTAATAAATACTTTCAACACTGAAGGTGGTAAGATTCTGTGAATGTTGTAACAAAGCAATTTACTAAAGAACCAGAGGGGAAAAGGTCCTCTTGTATCTCTAGGCCACTGATAAAAATAACCTAAGTAGGAATAATCGTAGAAATGTTGTGTGGAACTGAGAGAGCAAAAGAGAGGAATTTTATCTGGGGGTGATTCAAATGGTTCAGTACTCACCCACTAATCAAGAGGCTAGAGGTTTGAAGTCACTCAAGGACACCCCAAAGAAAGTCTTGTCAATCGATTTCCAAAAATCAGCCTTGAAGACCCTATGGAGACCCTGTGTGTCTACTCTGATGCATGTGTGCTTACCATGAGCGGGGGCCGACTCACTGGCAGCTGCTTTGTTTTCCTCACTGAGGCCTTAACATGCTTACATTTAGAGTTGAATAGTACACCTTCACATACATCACTGGTGGTGTGAGTAACCCCTTCCTTCATTTTGGAGAAAGATCACTGGTTAGCGGATAAGGGCAAACATTGGAAGTTAAGTTCTGTATCTGAATCTAGGTCACTCCTGTGACTGACAACGGGACCATCAGGCCCCTCAGAACCCAAGAAGGAGTCGCTATGGTTGTGCTTAAGAGTTCAAGTACAGACCACACCACACCTGGAGGTTGATGGTACACCATAGATAGGCAGCCACCACTGTGAGCTCTATCTAGATCAGGGCCCCTTCAGGACCATCTTTTTATGATTCATCATCCAATCATCTGCCCTCCATCTTCTAAAGTTCAGGGAGCATCTCAGCTACCCAGTTTCTTAGCCCACTCATGCACTGAGAGAATTCCATCTAGTTAGTTTTTTCCCTAAGGACACAAAATAGGTCTCTTCTTCTAATGACAGTAAACAGTAGAGGAATGTTTCCAACAGAGAGCCTCGTCTCAATCATCCTTAATGGAAATGAATACACAGTGACTTCCAGACATGGAAAAAGACTCTCCCACCATCCTTGGGCCTTTTTCTCTTAAGCAGGACTTTTCTGGTTGTAGTACCTTGTGATCAAAGTCTTAAAGCTAGAACCACAACTTTAGTACTGGCTATTAAGGAGTTTCTAGAGAGATGACACCAGGAAGGAAGAAAGGAGCTCACTTTTACTTTGTTACTTAATCGTGTAGATAAGAGCAAGGAAGAGCAAGAAAAAGAACAAAAGGAGTCTATATGCCCAGTACCTTCAGTCCCGATTTGTAGCCCTAACTTACTGGGAAAAGGCCCACTACTGGTCCCGTCTGAACTGATCAGGGGCTAAGTCAGAGTCTCTGCTGCAACTCAAGAGGCCATAAACTAGCCTATAGTGATAATTCACTAGACTGAAAATGTGTCCTGGCACTTCTAGAGAAATTTAAAGGCCAAAACATAGTCAAAGAAGGACTCGGTCAGAACAACTGTAGGCACTCTCATCTCCATGAATATTAGTATCACAGGACATTTAAAGTTGGAAGGACTTCAGAGATTTCCTAATGCAACTACATTTTTCCAAGGAGGGTCCTGCTGCCTGGACAGGGTGACAGCCCACCCAGAAGGTACAGTTTGCTACATCTGCTGGGGCACATGGAAGGGTAAAGAGGTTTTAGTGAGTGACGCTGTGCAGGTGAACATCAAGCATGTGGCTAATTCAGAATCCCCCTCATGCTGACCCCCAGTCCCAGGCCCTTTCTTGTTGATTTGCCACTGAAGTGGACAGCTGTGGACTGAGCATATCTGCAGAGTTCTTGGGGGAGAGTGAAGAGAAGCTGCAGGTGTGTGGTCACTTTCCAGTCCGGGAGACCACCTGGATGGCTTTTATCCACTCAGTGCGCTCCTTGGGGGTGGCTGCTTGCAAGAAATAGTGCACCTCATCAGCTGTGATGATCTCAAAAAGGTTCTCTTCCTCACTCCTCCGGCCTAGTGAGAGAGATCGTGAATAACATTGTCCATGGGTGCCTGAGGGGCCAATGAGTCCACCCTCTTGCTGTGAGTAATTAAATCCTGGCTTTCCGAGCATTGCCAGAAAATTAAATATGTGGTTTTCTAAAGCATATACTGCATTGTTGGAAAGATCAAAATGAACAGAATGCCCCTATGATGTTAAGTGTCAGAAGGAGGGATGGTGGTTGCAGAAGGAACCAAAAGGGGCACTTTATTATTATTATGGATACTATTTCTTGTCCTGCTAGACATGGTTATTATACAAGTATGTTCACTTTATAAATATTTATGAAGACATACTGTTGTAATACGTACTATTTTATGCATGTTTTAGGCACTTTGATAAAAAGAAAAAGTATGCAACGGGGGGGGAAACCCAGCCAATGTACTAAAATGATATGACGTCTGTTGTATGAGTGTGTGTGTGTGTGT